CCCCACCTCCCTCACAGGGTGTCTGTTGTGGGGAGGAGGAGGGAAAGGAGATTGCAAGAAGAAAAAGAAGAAGATATTGGATTTATACCCCGCCCTTCACTACCCAAGGGAGTCTCAGAGCAGCTTACAAACTCCTTCCCCTCCCCACAACAGACACCCTGTGAGGTAGGCGGGGCTGGGAGAACTCTTTCAAGGACTGCTCTTGAGAGAACAGCTCTGACAGAACTACGGCTAGCCCAAGGTCATCCAGCCAGGTGCCACTGGAGGAGTGGGGAATCAAACCCGGCTCTCCCAGATTAGAGTCCGCGCACTTAACAACTATACCAAACTCAGCCACTCTGAGACTCCTTTGGGTAGTGAAGGGTGGGGTATAAATCCAATGTCGATGATGATGATGATGATGATGATGATGATGATGATGATGATGATGATGATGATGATGATGATGATGATGATGATGATGATGATGATAAACAGAACTGGACCAAAGCTTAAGTCTTAAGATGACACATTAAACGATACAAAAATTCCACAGTAGCATCCTCATTTCAGCAAGCTGAACACAGTAGTATAGACCACAACCCCTAATAATTTACCCAAGTCACTTTGTGAATCATTTCGTACAGGGCAACCCTATTGCCTGCATAGAAAAGCCCTCCTAAATAATCCACTTTTGCACAGTTTGCGGAAAGCAGAGAGAAGCGGGAGCCTTCCCAGCCAATCCTTGGGCAGGCCGTTCCACAAGGCGGGGGGGGCACAACGGAGAAGGCCACGTGGACAGGCAGTTGTTGGCTTTGCCCGTTTGCAGGTTGGCACCCTCAGAAGGCCCGGTTCTGGTGAGCAGAGCTGTCATGTAGCTGTTGGGTGGGGGGAATGGCTTTGATTTTTTTCACCTTTTTTATTTGGTAAGTGTGGAAGGCCCTTCCTGGTGGGTCAGTCCCAGGAGACAGGGAAAAGAGCTAGTTCACCCTACGGGTCTTTGATTTAGGGCACACTGCCACCTTGGCTCCTCCCCCCCTTGCCACCTTCAGGAAACCAGGGAGGCCCTCCAGGGATTGAGCCTGCAGCCATCAGTAACACAACCGTAGCTCATTACCTACCTACTGCCTTTTCGTCCCGCCTTTTCTCCAGGGATCTCACGGTGGGACTGCCCGGCTTTCCCTTCCCTACTTCGTCCTCACAATAGCCCTGCGAGGTAGACTAGGCTGAGGGAAAGTGAGTGGTCCGAGGCCACCCAGCCGTTCTCCCATGGCAGAGTGGAGACCTGAACCTGAGTCCAGGATTGTAGTCCAGAACACTAAGCACTATGTTGTAGTGGCTCTCAGAATGTCAAATGGTGCTCCTGTGGAATGGACTAGAGAGAGTCCATTGAGTCCAATAGTGTGCTGGTTTCCAGTGATCCGTCACTGTTTAGGGCGCTTTGGTGTAGTGGTTAAGTGCGCGGACTCTAATCTGGGGGAACCGGGTTTGATTCCCCACTCCTCCACTTGCACCTGCTGATGTGACCTTGGGCAAGCCATAGTTCTGACAAGAGCTGTTCTTGAGAAAGAGCAGTTTCTGTCAGAGCTCTCTCAGTCCCACCTGCCTCACAGGGTGTCTGTTGTGGGGAGGGGGAGGGAGAGGAGTTTGTAAGCCGCTTTGAGACTCCGAGTGAAGGGTGGGGTATAAATCCAATCTCCTCCTCCTCCTCTTCTTCTTCTTCTTCTTCTTCTTCTTCTTCTTCTCTTTTTTTTGGCCCCCCGGAGGGGATTTTTTATTGCATTTTTTTAATTAGACTACAAACTACAAAGAAAATAAGGGAAGGGAACTACAATTAGGGAGAAAGAAAAGATAACCACTACTGACTAAAAACCCAAGAGTAGGAGATCATTAAAACAGCTTGAATACAAATTTTCCCTTAAATCGCGAATGTCTTTCGAACTTAGTCAGACATGCTAAAATGTCTTTAAGATCTTAGATTTAACTGTTAGAGTTCTTCTTCTCTTCTTTCACACACACTGAATGATGCCCTTTCAGTCCACTTTCCAAGCTCTTTGCAACAGGATTTTACTATGTGAAACAGGGAAGACCATGTAAAGTCTCTGGAAGTCCATTGAAAGTGAATTGAAAATGCCGCATTCAGAGTGTGTGAAAAAGCACCCGTTGTGTCCAAGACATGGAACCACCCGGACGTTCAGACTCCCCGAAAATCTTTTTGGCCTTCCGGCTGCCCTCTGGAACTGATACTACGGAAATAATCATAGTCATGAACAATGTTCCCTCTAAGCTGAGTTAGTGTGAGCCAGCTCACAGTTTTTTAGCCTCTGGCTCACACATTTTTGTCTCAGCTCAGGAAGGAGGGCTCCAGAGCAAACTAATTTATACATTAGTCAAATCGCTTGCTCACAACTTTAATGCCAGTAGCTCACAATGTAGAATTTTTGCTCACAAGACTCCACAGCTTAGAGGGAGCATTAGTCATGAAAACAGTTTGGTTTAACCTATGAAGAAAGGTTTAAGAGGTTAGGGCTTGGAGAAGCGACTTCTGAGGGGGATGGTATGACAGAGGTTGACAAAATTAGGCATGGGATAGAGAAGGCAGAGGAAGAGGTCCTTTTCTCCCTTTCTCGCAAGACGAGAATTTGTGGGCACTCCCATGAAATTAAGGAGAAGTAGGATTAGAACAGATCAAAGGAAGTGCTTCTTCACCCAAAGAGTCATTAACCCTTGGGATTCACTGCTGGAAGTGGTGGCGGCTACAAGCATAGATAGCTTCCGGAGGGGATTGGATAAACATGTGGAGCAGAGGTCCATGAGTGGCTCTTAGCCACGAGGTATAGATGGAACACTCTGTCTGGAGCAGAGAGGCTCTGTCTTCTTCGTGCTTGAAAGAAACAGTGGGAGGACTTCTGGAGCTGTGGCCCCGCAGATGGACCTCCTGATGGCTCCTGGGTTTTGGCCACCGTGTGACACAGAGTGTTAGACTAAGATGGGCCACTGGCCTGAACCAACATGGGATTCTCTTATGTTCTTATGTCTGGGGCATTGATGCTCTGTCTTCTTGGTGCCTGGGGGGCAAGAGTGGGAGAGCATCTGGAGTTCTGACCCCACTCTTGGACCACCTGATGGCCCCTGGGTCTTGGCCCCTGTGTGACACAGACTGTTGACCTGGATGGGCCATTGACCTGATCCAACATGGGCTTCTCTTATGTTCTTATATGGAGCAGAGGTCCGTCAGTGGCTATTAGCCACAAGGTATAGACAGGGACTCTCAGGCGGGGGCAAGTGATGCTCTGTCTTCTTGGTGCTTGGGGGGGGCAGTAGTGGGAGGACTTCTGGAGTTCTGGCCCTGCTGCTGGACCTCCTGATGGCCCCTGGGTTTGGGCCACAGAGTGTCGGACTAAGATGGGCCATTGGCCTGATCCAACACTGGTTTCTCTCTCATGTTCCTAACCGTGTTTCCTCCCTTCACACCGCCTCTCCCCCATCCCCTTCTCATGCAGGTAAAACAGAGCTGGCCAAGCAGATAGCCAGGTACCTTCACAAAGACATCAAGAAGGTGAGCGCTTTTTTTTTCCCCCTTTGCCCTTTTAAGGCCAGGCCAGGTTTCCCCGAGCCGCAGTGTGTGGACTTGCTCTGCCGGAGCCAGGATCCTGTGTGACGTTTCCCTCCCTCCCTTGGAGCAGGTCAGTGGCCCATGTTGGATCAGGCCAGTGGCCCATCCAGTCCAACACTCTGTGTCACACAGTGGCCAGAAATACCAGGGGCCATCAAGAGGTCCAGCAGTGGGGCCAGAACTCCAGGAGCCCTCCCCTGGTCCCCCCCCCCCCAAGCACCAAGAATACAGAGCATCCCTTGCCCCAGACCAGTGTTCCCTCTAAGCCGAGTCAGTGTGTGAGCTAGCTCGCAGTTTTTTAGCCTCTGTCTCACACATTTTTGTCTTAGCTCAGGAAGGATGGGGCTCCAGAGCAAACTGATTTAGGCAGTAGCCAAATTACCTGCTCACAACTTTAATGCCAGTAGCTCACAAAGTAGAATTTTTGCTCACAGGACTCCACAGCTTAGAGGGAACATTGCCCCAGACCGAGAGTCCCTATCTATACCTTGTGGCTCATGGCCCCTGATGGACCTCTGCTCTGCTCCATGTGTTTATCTAATTCCCTCTTGAAGCCGTCCGTGCTTGTAGCCGCCGTCACCTCCTGTGGCAGTGTGGCTTCTGTTGGGATCATCTAATTTTAAACGCGTTGCCACTTTGGTGTCGTGATTAAGTGCGCGGACTCTAATCTGGGAGAGCCGGGTTTGATTCCCCACTCCTCCACTTGCACCTGCTGGATGACCTTGGGCAAGCTGTAGTTCTCTCGGAGCTGTCCTTGAAAAAGAGCCGTTTCTGTCTGAGCTCTCTCAGCCCCACCGACCTCACAGGGTGTGTCTGTTCTGGGGAGGGGGAGGGGAAGTTGAGTTTATAAGCCGCTCTGAGACTCCTTCGGGTAGTAAAGGGTGGGGTATAAATCCAATCTCCTCCTCCTCCTTCAGTCTTGTCCCCTTCCAGGGCGTCCCCTCTAGTACAAGATTTCAGAGCAAAAACCTTTCTGGGATTCACATTTCCCTTTCGTCCCTGGCCCCGCATCCGATTTCACACCCTGCCGAGGACAAAAGGATCTGCCCTGATTCAGTGGCCGTGCAGGCAACCAGGGGGGCTTATTGATGGCTAATCAGTTGGGTGATTGTTTAGGTAATGAGTGCACTAAATGCGGGAAGGGGGGCCACCGAAAACGGAGGAAATTATCGGGGAGGAGCAGCTGTAAGCAGCAATTAACCGATCCTGGGAGGCGTCCCCACGGAGATCTTGCTTCTGGGCCAGCGAGAAAGTTGAATCTCCAGCATTCCCGTAGTATACAGAGAGTGACTAAAATGTGGGATTCACTGCCAGAGGATGTGGCGAGGGCCACAGGAACAGACAGCTTGAAACGGCGATTAGACCGAGTGATGGAGGAGAGGTCTATCAGTGGCTACTTCTGCCCTGTTGTTGGTCCTCCAGTGAGGGCCACTTGTGTGAGACGGGATGCTGGACTAGGTGGACCCCTGGTCCGATCCAGCAGGGCTCTTTTTACGAAGACCTCGGCTTCTATGTCCTGTTGTCTCCAGAGAAACTGGGTGGCCCCTGTGTGAGATGGGATGCTGGACTGGATGGACCTTCACTGGTCTGATCCAGCAGGGCTCTTCTGAGGTTCTGATCAGGGGAAGGCCTCGGCCTCTCTGCCCCACTGTTGGCCCTCCAGAGGAACTGGCTGGCCCCTGTGTGAGACGGGATGCTGGACTAGGTGGACCCCTGGTCCGATCCAGCAGGGCTCTTTTTACGAAGACCTCGGCTTCTATGTCCTGTTGTCTCCAGAGAAACTGGGTGGCCCCTGTGTGAGATGGGATGCTGGACTGGATGGACCTTCACTGGTCTGATCCAGCAGGGCTCTTCTGAGGTTCTGATCAGGGGAAGGCCTCGGCCTCTCTGCCCCACTGTTGGCCCTCCAGAGGAACTGGCTGGCCCCTGTGTGAGACGGGATGCTGGACTAGGTGGACCCCTGGTCCGATCCAGCAGGGCTCTTTTTACGAAGACCTCGGCTTCTATGTCCTGTTGTCTCCAGAGAAACTGGGTGGCCCCTGTGTGAGATGGGATGCTGGACTGGATGGACCTTCACTGGTCTGATCCAGCAGGGCTCTTCTGAGGTTCTCCAGGGTCTGAGGCAAAGGTCTTTCACATCACCTCCTACCTGGTCCTTTTAAAGTGGATGGGGCATCGTTCTCGGTCAGGGTAACAGGACTGGCAGTGGTGCCTTACTGAGTGCACAGTTGGCTCTTTGTGGTTGTTGAAAGAGCCCTCGCGATCCCCCGCGAAGGACACCGCCACTAAAGAGTTGTTCTCTTTTGTCCTGCAGGGCTTCATTCGAATGGACATGTCTGAGTTTCAGGAGAGGCACGAGGTGAGTCGCGGAGTCTCCGCTGTCCTTTTTCAACTTATCTTTTGCTAGAATGTTTTAAAGGGAAATTAAGATGGAGAAAAGCAAAAACGGATTCCGCGGGACCCTGGCTGGTGTCGCACGATAAACCAGTGTCGTAATCCGGAACTTTCTCTGTTCGGCTTCTGCACTCTTGCCGATGCCCACCATTTCTGGCTTCTGCTGTCGCACCTGTATGTTGTGGAAACACACACCCCTCCCTCCCAGTTCTCAGCCTTGCCCCTCTTTGCCTCGCTTTTTAATCATAGTGATGTTTGGCATTTAAGTCACATGTTCCTTCTGGAGCATCTCCTCTTGGTATCTTCCTCCGCTCCCTCCGCCTATTTCGCAGGGTGTCTGTTGTGGGGAGGGGAAGGGAAAGGAGATTGTAAACTGCTCTGAGACTCTGAGTGAAGGGCAAGGTATATAGTTTGATGTCGTGGTTAAGTGCGCGGACTCCAATCTGGGAGAGCCGGGTTTGATTCCCCACTCCTCCACTTGCACCTCCTGGATGACCTTGGGCAAGCCACAAGTTCTGGCAGAGCTGTTCTTGAAAAAGAGCAGTTCTCTCAGAGCTCTCTCAGCCCCACCGACCTCACTGGGTGTCTGTTGTAGGGAGGGGAAGGGAAAGGAGATAGTAAGCCGCTTTGAGACTCCTTCGGGCAGTGAAGGGTGGGGTATAAATCCAATTTCTTCTCATCTCAGAGCTGTTCTCTCAAGGGCAGTCCTCGGAAGAGCTCTCTCAGCCCCGCCTACCTAACAGGGTGTCTGTTGTGGGGAGGGGAAGGGAAAGGAGATAGTAAGCCGCTTTGAGGAAAGGAGATCGTAAGCCACTCTGAGACTCCTTCGGGCAGTGAAGGGTGGGGTATAAATCTAATCTCTTCTTCTCATCTCAGAGCTGTTCTCTCAAGGGCAGTCCTCAGAAGAGCTCTCTCAGCCCCGCCTACC